ATAATATGTACGAAGTCCTTAAGAAAGGACCTGGGACTTGGTGAGTGTTCAGTAGACATTCCTTTATTTGCACTTTTAAGATTTTTTAAAAACCAGAGTTCATATTTTGGTTTTATTTTTGTAGGTGCTAAGTCCCCGGACTGACATTGGTATATACGGGAGTGGCAAAAGCAGAAGGAAAAAAGTAAAAGAACTAATAGAAAAAGAAAAAGAAAAGGATCTAGACGTTGAGCCTTTGAGTGATCTAGAGGAAGGATTGGAAGAAACCAGAGATACAGCCATGGTGGTAAGAAATTATGTAATGCGTTTTAAGTTCGCATGGTGAATACAGAATTCTGTGAAGATATACATTAGCAGGTTCACTGTTTTTATTTCGCTATTTTTATTTTCATAAACTTAATCTTTGGCTTTATGACTATACATATTTCACATTTTTAAATACATTTGTAATCAAAGTATAGAAGAAGTTTACTATTCTGCTCTTTTCCCAACACTGTTTTTCTTTTCCATATCTGTTCTTTATTGTTGTTTTAACAGTTGTCTAATATTGCATCAGGTTGGCCATAGTTTGCTGAGTACAGTAAATCTTCACTTAACATTGCTGATAGGTTCTTGGAAACTGTGACTTCAAGTGAAATGACATATAATGGAACCAGTTTTAAAGACTGATAAACAAGGGTTTTGATTAAATGAGTTAAGTTCCTGTGGCATATTTCTGGTCACAGAAATATCACCAAACTTCTAAATAAAGACCCAAAACACTTCTAATAATTAAACATTGAAATAAATGTGAATTGTACATACGTTTAAGAAAGAGTAATAAAAAAAAGTAACAAATATTTACTCAGTTTTTGGTAGATCTGTGAGTGACAGGGGCCCTGGTCAGTAATCAGTTTTTTTCCTCAAAACTACGTTGAACGAAACGATGCTATTTGAGGACCTGCTACAGTTTTCTAATGTTGAGCATTTTGCTTCTTATTGAGTTGCCTGTCGTAAGTAACAAAAAGTGAACTTCTTTGTATAGTCTTTTCCCTTCTTTTAAATTATTTTCCTAGACTTGACTCTTAGGAGAATTATTGGGTTAGAATTTAATAGCATTTTGTGACTCTTAATACTATTGTGATTTTTTTTTGGCTGGGTGCGGTGGCTCACACCTGTAATCGTAGCACTGTGGGAGGCCAAGGTGGAGGGCTTGCTTGAGGTCAGGAGTTCGAGACCAGCCTGAGGCAAGAGCGAGACCCTGTCTCTACTAAAAATAGAAAGATTAGCCAAATGTCCTAGCCCGAGCCTTGTAGTCCCAGCTAGTGAGGAGGCTGAGGTGGGAGGATCGCCTGAGCCTAGGTCTTGGAGGTTGCAGTGAGCAATGATGATGCCACTGCACTCCAGCCAGGGTGACAGAGTGAGACTCTGTGTCAAAAAAAAAAAAAATACTATTGTGCTTTTCAAAGGAATTGTACCAGCTTACTGATACCAGCTGCTTTTTAAAAATATTTCCCTTCTTTTAGTAGCATTCAACAGTATAGT